ATTTAAAATCAAAGTAGTTTATCGGATTCCGGTGGACAATGGGTAAAATATTTCGCTCCTGAAAAAGTAAAATTGCATCTTGCTCTATTTCTGGCAAATCCCAAAGACGCATTTTCATAGCACTAAAACATGGTAACAAAAATCGAAGAACAAATCATTTTGGAATTCTTCTGACTTACTCATAATTTGAAAATAAAGTAAGTTATTATCCTTTTTATAATGTCAAATAATAAAATGAAGTATTTGTAGCTGGAAAAATTGCCATTATATGTCTCTTCGATTTAAAATTATTCATTTGTAATTTTTTTAACGAATTAATATATTATAATGTATTACATAATGTAATTATGTAGTTATTTATTTTCTAACAGAAAACAAAATTAATTCAAATATTTTTCATATCATAAGATTAAAAAATAAATACATTTATATTTTTATATATTTTTATATATTAACTCATTTATTATTGTTGATAACATCATAAGTTTTAAAGGGGGATTAAATTCATTAATGTATTTATTTTAATAAAATTATGATTGATTATTGTAGAAATAAGCAGATATATTGAGTTGTTACCTACACGATTGCTCAAGTATATAGATAAGCTTTAACTTTATACTTTCAATTCTGACTAACAAATAAAATGTAGATAAAATACAAATGCTATATTGGTTTCCATATCATGATGAATGCTATATTTTTTTTATTTCAATGGTCAGGAGTAGCAGGCTGCAAGTAGTCGCTACTTTTTTTCTTCGTTTCTAGTGTGTAGAATGCAGCTTCGAAAAAAAAATAGTGACAGTGTGATGCAAGTAGTTGGTAGTGATTTCTGGCAACTACCTTTAATGTTGGTTCAGTAAAGAAACACGATTCGAAGAAACCCTACTAATTTTTCGAATCTGATAGAATAATAGCTAATTTATCACTTTAGCTACATTTTCAAATGTATGCTCATGAATTTTATTTCTTAGAGGAAATAATAATAAAATTGCAATTTTTTTTTATAATTCCCTAGCATTTTTAAATTAAATATTCGCTGCAAATAAAGGCATATAAAGTTGTAGATTAAAAGAACAAATTCGAAAAAAATGGTTTAAAATAACAAGACGGTTTCTTGTAAACATGAATGTATATTTCTTAACATTTCCTTATGTTTAAATAAGCTAATTCTTCACTCAAAACCATTTTGAAAATGGGCATAAATTAAGTTCAGAAAGTTAAGTGCAAAGTCGGCAAGCAATGTGAATTCGAAGATGTGACACATGAGAAACATGTGACACACGTGTTTACATGAGAAACACTCGTCAATTAGGTTCTCGTTCGCGTAGCGTCAGAGATTTTCTTTTTATACAGTGAGAATAGCCATTTCAGTTTCATCTAAATTCGCTCTTTAGTGAAAATAAGGTACGTAAAGAAATATTTGTTGCCATATTTCAGTTATGAAAACTTAACTACGATTAGATTCATAGCAACCGTAACATAAACAAACAATTCGAGCTTAAAACGATGTCTGAATCTATTGAAAAAATTGGACTGTATTTTGATGATTTAAATAAAATTCGTGTTTTAGATCCTGAAGCCAGTCAGAAAACTAATGCTTTGAAAGAAGAATGCAAAGAATATGTTAGTAGTAAGTCAATAATTTTTGAAGTATACATACGTTCTGCTTTATTGTTTATTACACCAGTGTTATATTTTAATAGTAAATTTTATTGATACTTTTTATGTAGGATTTAATCAGCGAATGACACATCAACACCAAAAAATGTTAATTTATCTTTTGAATTAAAGGAAATAGATTGATCTGTAAAGTGTGGCATAATTTTGAATAAGATTGAAAAAGTAAGTAGAGGATTATAACTTGGCAACGAGACAATACACCATCTCTTACAATAAATATGTTAATTCTATTAAAATGTCTAATATGAATTGCAAAATTTCCTAATAATTTTATAGATTTAGCTAAGAAAGCTTCTAAGGCTCAAATTTTTCTTTTCGTAAGTCTTTGTAAGATGTAATGCTTACCCTTCGCTTTGCCAAACTTTTATTTTCAAATATATTAGTTTAAATTAACATTTTCAGCGTGGATTAAGGCGCAGTTTCTGTATCGTATCTGTGGCAGGATAATCGCAAAGTCTTGGAAACTTCCGGGCAGTGGTCCGCGAGAAACTATAAAAAACATCGCTGAAAGGGACCAACTCAAAAGGTATAGCTCATAGCCACCCCGGGCGAACATCTACATGTTTTTTTTTTTTAAAAAAATTTGCAAAATCTATTTGGCACCTTGGCGATTGCAGTTGGCGCGACAGATCATGATATGGGAATATCCCCTGGATTAACATGTTTAAATAAAGATTTCGATAGTAAGTATTTATTTTTATTTATTTCATGATTTGCTTTAGTCATTATTTTTGCTACTTTAATACCTTAATTTTTCTTACTCGTACATGTTTGTTCTTGTTGACATTTAAAATGCAATATTTTTTTCCTCCCATATCTGTTACTTCAATTCTTACCTCGTTCTTGACGGTAACATCATTCTTTTTCAATTCTCTCCTCTTAAGAACGCCTTTCTTTCCACTTCCGTTGTGATGTCATGGCCGGGTTGCTTTCTTTTCTCCTACATTTTGGGGACCTTTTTTGATAGGTCGCCAAGAAGTTGGCCTTGCCATAGTTATTTTTCTCTTAAGTGCTTTATAAGTAAGCAAGCATTTTTTAAAGCGCTTTCAGTTTTTGTAGAATCATGCTATGTAAATGTTAAAAGACAATTATAGAAAGTTGATTTGTTCAAAGTATTAATGTCATTAAAGTGCTATACAGAAATGCGTTTCCACCTATATAAAATTCAAACTTTTTTCCCCATTCAATAACATTTTAATAAATTTATTAATTTTTAAAAATATACCAAGTTATTCAAATATAACAAAATATTTTTAAAAAATGCCCTAGAACTTGATTATTTATGGTAAAGCGAGCTATAATAAACAATAGTCTAATATATTTAATGAGTCGAAACATTCCTAATTTTACCTGAAAAAAAGTATGCAAGCTAAGGGAACTTTTTAATTTATTGAAACTTTTTCACATTTATCATGTGCTATCTTAATGATTTGAGTGACTGACTTAAAATTTGATCATACATTGGTCCCCAACCCCCAGCCGGTACCAGTTCATAAATCAAACAGTACAGGCCCCCAACGGAATATTATTTTCGGACAATATTTCAATTTTATTTATTCTAGTGTATTTCTACCGGATTTGTACGACTTACGCCATGCAAAAAGTTAACTGGGAGCTGAGAAACATTGCCTAAAACCGCACCATTGCCTCGAATGTTACTCTATTTTGTTTTCAATGCATATTTACATCACATTAAAATTACGTTAAATAAATTAAATATATTCAATCAAAATCATCTTAAATATTCAATGTTCATCCCTCCCTCAGAAGGCCGCAGGAAAATTATCAAACATTGACCGGTTCACTGAGATATAAAGGTTGGGGTGCACTAGTGCAGATCATAGTTTCTTAACCACAGGTTCCACCACTGGTTAACCAGTGCCGAAAGAATCAATATAAATTTTATTTATATTTAGATAGGTTTAAGCTTGAATAAAACAAGAATCTTTTACTCATGTTTATGCAACTCATTCATCTGAAGGCACAAGCAAAAAATAATTTATACATAATTTTTTTAAAATTTGATTTAATGTTAGTTTAAATAACTTTGTATTTTGAGGTAATAGATTTTTACATAATTGTAAATTCTTATTTGAAATAGAAAATTTGAACAAATTAAATTTAATTAAAAATTTAAAAATAAAAATTCCTTGAAATTTTATAACTTTTTAGTTTCAAAATACTATACATTATAATATAAAATATTCGGTCAATGAACTGTAAATAGACTATTCGATAATAATCTATCGATTGTAATAATATAACTCTATAAATTATTTAGTCTAGTCTGTTCAAATTTTGGTTTCAAAATATTATGCATTATAATTCATACTTAATATAGGTACTATTCGGCCGAGCCTGTTCAAATATTGTATTTTGTCATTTAAAATTACGCAGCCAAAATGAAGTAAAATTAAATGAAAAAATTTGACTATCTTTAAAACTAAAAAAAATTAACTAATCTGAAAATGATATATTTTGCATGAAATTATTTTTGGATAAACGAGTCTTACAATTTTCTGCAAAAAAAGAAAGTTCTTTATTATTTCCAGAGATGTAGTAAAATACATCAAAAGTGAAATTAATATTAAAAAGCTGAAATTTTTTGAATGCTATCCTAACTACACTATTTGTAAAAAAAATTCTAGATTGCTAGAACCATAACAGATTGCATTTCAAAAATCAGAAGTTTAAATCATATGATAAAAAAGGTATGTTTATTCAGAGAAAGTACGTTTTTTGGATCTGATTTTGTGACTGATGAATTAATTGATTATATTTGAAAGGTTAGCTCCTTAAACTATTAAAATAGCATTTTAATAAGTGAAACTCTGATTATTTGCTAAAAAGTTACTAAGTTTTTTTTTTTTTTTTTTTGCTCATTGTATGTCATTTTAAATTAAAGGTTCAGAGAATTATTGTATATAAGTTTATCTCTGGGCCATCAGTTTGGGTAGCTCTAAAATTCGAAACGAAAAATTTAATTAAATATCCTTATCCATCTTCCTCATGTAGACTTTTCGATCTTTTTTTTAAAATAAAAAACAAGGATCTAAATCATATTTCATTTGTATTGAGTAAATTTTCTCATCCTGGCTTTTATGTAGTTTTTAGATGCTTAAAATGTTTTTATAATTTTGCACTTTTTAAGTCTGTTGTTGGTATTGTAGCTACTACCAATATTTAAATATCCATCATAAACTATTCTGATACTTTTAACTTGTGCTGCCATCTGTTAGTAACTTAAGTTCTATTGAAATGCATCGGAATAAAATTTGAATTTGTAATAAAATTTAAGGAATGTATACAGTAATTTCCCTTCATTTTTTCTTTTCATTTATTTCCAATGTAACATTTAAAAACTCCTTTAGTCGATACCCTCCCACTGCGGAGTTGTGGGAAACGACAGTGCAGATCTTTTGGCCAAGAAGGGCGTCTCAATTATTTAAATTCCTTCCCGCTCAATACCATTTTGTTTCATTAAGAAAAGGGTGACAGATTGCATAAAAGAGTGTCCCTCAAAGAACTGTCCAAAAGAGTGTCCGATAAACCTTGGAGAGATTTAGTCCCAAAATCCTATATTTGCCCAAGGTGTAGAGCTGTGGCAGAATTCCGCCTGGCCACTGGACACGACTCTCTTCTTAAACATCTCAGCAGAATTAACATTGCTCCTTCTCCCATCTGCACACTTTGTAACTTTGGGAAGGAAATGGATGCCGCCCATATTATGCACTGTCCTGCTTTCCGCAGGTCTTCTCTAGCCGAGCGATATTGGAAAACCAAAGACATTTTGAATTAATGGACTCAAGTTACTGCATTATGTTTTCCATCTTTTATTGTATTTTACTTTTCTTATTGTGCTGTAACTACTGTCCAATAAATTTGTGATTGGAAATTAAAAAAAAAGACATTTAAAAATTAATTATCTAATAAAAGTTACTTTTATCATTTTAGAAATATCTGAGTTTCAAACTGTGGTAGATGGATTTCTTCAAATATCTGACAATTTGGCTTCTGAAGTTGAAAAATCAAAACTTAAAGTAAGTAGTTATTTTCTATGTAAAAATAACTAGCGTCCAATATATTAAACCAAAATATTTTTGTAATTGAGCAGACCTGCCAATTCTCAGGTTTTTTTACTAATCAATGTATGAATAAGAGGACTAGTGCATAATTTGCTCGCCCCTAAACTAACCTCCTGATCAGCAATTTTGTGCTGATTTACTGTACAATGACATTTCAGAACAGATTTTTTTTTTAATTCTTTTCATTGGATCAATTCAAAATGGTATAAAGTCAGTATCAGGAAAATTAATACCTATATGTTAATGCTACATGCCTATAATGTGTGTTGACCAAGTTAAAACTGACGGTATAAATGATTCCTTGATATGGTTTATACGACTGAAACGATAAAAATAATACACTTTTTATTCTCTTCCTCGTTTTAATTATAATTTTTCACTTATTAAAGTAAGAATTTTAACTAAGTTATTTTATATTCATATTCAACATCACAGCTGTAATTAAATCTTATTTAAGTTAAGTCTAGAAGCTGAACACTCTTTCTAAAGTTGCCCTTGTTTCTTAAAAATTTGACTGTACCTTGATACAGATTGTAGCGTAGCTGCCACTATAATTATTAAATTCCTATTCACTAGTATATTAGACATGTTAACTCGATTCTATCCAGGTGAGCTTTTAATAGATGAAGGCTGATACTGTCAGTGGCCTACACCCACTTTGGTGACTTTTGGGCGTAATCTGAACGTGCTTACCTAGACAGAAGCGCCCACCTCAATATGAACATGCTTAGTTTGATGCATGGAACACAGTTTACAGTTGACTTGCTATTTGAGACTGTGACATTGTCCTCCTCACACTGCTGCAACTCAGTATGGATCACACACAATGGAGGCCTGCCAACACTCAACTACTGTTGCAACACAAAAGCGACCCTGTCCTTAGCCGTGATCTTAATATAGTTCTCTCGGCCTGTCGTATTTGTTGCTAAGTTTTATTTATGTTGAAAATTAATGTTTGGAAATAATTCTACTTTCTGTATTTTATCGATAAGAGATGTTTATGTGTTGAGAATATATAAAATAATCCTTTTTAAACAAACTTGTATTATGCACCTTATCATTTTGAAAATTGAGAAAACTGAGCAATTGCTGTAGGAAGAAAAAAGCAGCAGAAAATTTTGAAATTTGAGCTAGTACTACAATCAAGATTCTAACCTTAACTTGACTCATGTATAGAACAGCTTTAAACTGGATGTATGATTAATATGTTCTTAATTCATAGATATCTCTCATCAATAAAATGTAGGCAATTAGACTAGTTAAAGCTTTTTTTTTTTCACAAGAACTTAATTTAAGTGAAAAAAAAATTGAACTTAAGTATTCTTTTAGATATTAACCAATATTTGAGAAATGAAATTTCACGCATCAGCTACCATCAAAGGCAGCTTTTATATTGTACATTGATTTGTAAAACTTCTTTTATTTTGCCCTGCCTTACTGTACAATGATCTATGCTCGATGCTCTAGACATACGTTGTTTGTACTGTTCTTAAAATTTAAATACCTCTTTCCAAATTTCCTTTTTATTTGTAGAAATTTAAAATAAACAATTTGATATTTCCCTATACAGTCGATTGATCCATCATTCATCCTTTGTTTGTTCCAATATATCATCTTGTGTTAATGGTTCAAAAGTTTCCAAAATTTTAAGTAATTAAATGTATTCTGTATTAATATTTTTGCAGTAAGTACACAATTTTTTCAACTTAAACTTCTAATACTTGCTGTAAAATTATTAATTTTCAATCCTTACTTCTTTATTACTTTTCATATAATTTAAAGTCATAACTGCCATGCCATTATAGCCATTACTTATTTCCTAACTTGTTTTCTTATGGATTTTTTTTTTATAAGGTTCATTTTTCTTGTTTATTTGAACCTAATCCTTTTCTAAATAAATAAATACATTTTTATTTAATTTCATAAAGAGCAAATGCAATTATTTCTATTTTAATTAATAAATAATAATTTATAATTAATTTATTTTTCAAAGTTTTTTAACTATATATCAAAATTTACTTTTCATCTTACTTTCTTTAAACTGCTTTATTTTTGCCTCAAAAAATTTTCAATTACAGGGTTAAATTAAATACTAATGGTCTTTTTAGTGAATTTGTAAACCTGATTATTTAAATTGAATTCAGTAATGCAGGTTTGGCTTTGTTTTGGCAGTATTTTTTTTTTTCAATAATTTACATGTAATGGATTTCTTCCCAGCACAATATTTTAGATTGATCGACATTCGTCGTTTTCCTCTATCTCTTGTTCGCAATGAATGGTCTCATGAGAAATCATGGTACTACTGTATCTTAATAATATTTTTTATTTGATATCATTTACTCAACTAGTTCCTCTGGTTGTTAATTGTTGTGCATATTAATTATACATACAAATACATTTATTTATTATTATGCATATTAATTATGCATACATATACCTTTTATGAACATAATTATTTAATGTTACTTAAATTAATTTATCATTCCTTTTTCTGAGCTTATTCCATTTGTTATGTTTTACTATGCACATTTTAGTTCAGGGCTCGAAAAACAGCCCGTCCTCGACGGTCAAAAATTCTCGACGGTCAAAAATTCTCGGCGGACAACGAATTTCTTGAAACCGACGTCCGCGCGGACGGCCATTTTCCCGTTAATGTTCGTGATACATTTTCAATTTTTGTTATCTTACAAGAGTCTTGTAAGTTACAAGGCAGCAAAATGACCCACAATACAGCAACATACTGCTCATATATTGATGTTTTCTCTGTCTGGGAGTACTGCAGCGGTTGAAAGGGGCTTTGCAGCAATAAACTTACAAAAAAACACAATACGTACTGGTCTTAAACAAGAAGCTTTAAAAGCAATTATGAACATCTACCTAAATGGAAAACCCCTTTCAGATTTCTGTTCAGAAACCTCNCCTCAAAAAATTTTCAATTACAGGGTTAAATTAAATACTAATGGTCTTTTTGGTGAATAATTTGTAAACCTGATTATTTAAATTGAGTTTAGTAATGCAGGTTTGGCTTTATTTTTGGCAGTATTATTTTTCAATAATTTACCAATTATGGATTTCTTCCCAGCACAATATTATATTTTAGATTGATCGACATTCGTCGTTTTCCTGTATTTCTTGTTCGCAATGAATGGTCCCATGAGAAATCCTGGTACTATTGTATCTTAATAATGTTTTTTTTATTTGATATCATTTACTCAACTAGTTCCTCCGGGTGTTAATTGTTGTGCATATTAATTATGTTAAATATTATTGATGTTAAAAATTATTATTGTTTATATTGGAAATTGATATACATTTTATGAATTATTAATGTTATTAATTATTTAATGTTACTTAAATTAATTTATAATTTCTTTTACTGAGCTTATTCCATTTGTTATGTTTTACTATGCACATTTTAGTCTAACTTTTACTTACCTTATATTATTATTATTATTATTATTTTTTTTTTAACTTTAATGAGTTGTAAGAAATTACTTTAGCTTGCTTACACTTAAAACACTTTTAATTAATATTTATCACAATATTTGAAATCTTATTCACAGATTTTGAAACAAGAGCATACTCTACCAATTTGTTTGTAAATATTGTAAACGTAGAATACTTTTCCTATATGCTCATATTAGACTAATATTAATTATCTAAATATTATAAATTTCATCTATGAGATACTTTTATTGTTGTTTTCTATCTTTTTAATAGGCTATAGGCTCAAGAAATTTGTTGAAATCTATTACTAAACAAAGAGAAGCACAGCAACAACAGCTGCAAGCATTAATTATAGAGAAAAAACTGCAATTAGAGAGGTGAATGATTAAAATTTGGAAGAAAAAAATTTTTACTGTGCAAAATTGTTTTCACATTTACTATTGTCTCTTGTTTCAGGTTAAAAGTACAACATGAATCTTTAAAGAAAGAAGAAGTTGAGCAAAATGAACTAATAGAACAATTTTTAATGCAAAAGTAGTTTAAGAATGTGTTTGTTTAAGTACATTGTGTTGTAAATATATGTAAATATGCACATCTTAATATATCTGGAAAAAAATATGTGTGCATTTCTTTTATACTGACTAACATACATTATCGCAATTATATTTGTCATTTTTGTGAAAGCAAAGATATCTAAATTGCACCATACTGATCTAGTGATTTTATACATTATATGATACATTATAATAAAAAAAATATTCCGTATAATAATGTAATGAAAGTTTTATTTTTAATTGACAATCATTATAGAGGAAGTAAGCCAATTTAACCAAATGTATGTTTTGTAGATTATCAGGTGAATAATATGAAAGATATTGACGACATCAGGCAAGCAAAATGTCAGAAAAAATTACTAACATATATATAAAATACATGGATTTATTTGTTCATGGCTTTGGAAAGCAGAACAAATATAAAAGTACTGTTAATTATGTTCTCATAAATATTGGTACGAACTTTAAGGAGAGTTAAGGCACACCCAAAGGATGGAGAACTGCATAATAATTCATGACTGGAAATGTCAACGTAAGTCGTTAAGTGCACTTCTCTAGTATAAACTGAATAATATATAACTAAATTATTAAAAAAAATATCTCCTACTGTATTGTTTAACAGAATTAATTTTAGATTGCCTCTTACATAATAAGTTGCACAAACATAATTTTTAAATAAAGGTTATTCTTTAATGACCAAATAATCATTTCATGCTGATATCGATCATTTCGTGCTGATCCTGCTGCAGCAAGTAATAGGATCATGCTAAGTAATTCTAAATACATTTTATCTTTATTCTAATGGGATATACTACAAAAACTTACTTCAATAACGTAAAGCCATCGAAAAGGGCAACAAATAATATTAAATTAGAAAAAATTGGTACTATTCTGAAGCACAGATCTTTAGTTAAAATTTGAATGCTCTATAAGTTTAAGTGATCCTATTTTTTATTAATAATAATATTTTTATTAATAATAAAGAATATAATAATATCATGATAAATCGATTGCGCTGTCAATGAGCATGGAGCTTCAGAATAGTTTCGAGTGCTTTAGCTAGCCGGAAAGTCTTAGAAAGTTTAGCTGAAAGATTCGACTCGAACTCAAATGTGAAATATTAAAAATTTGCAAAATAAAAAGACTTTTTTTCTGTAAAATTTTTAAAATTTAACAAATAAAATAATTTTGTAATTTTTTTTATTTTGTAAAATGAAAGATAAAAATATTTAGATGTGTGATAATAAATGTTTTTATGAAAATTAAAATAATAACAAAAGCACTTGTTAATCTAATTTCCTTTTTTTAAATTATAAAAAGTTGAGTCTTTTAAATGAAACATACTTCACCTAATATCATAAAAATGCTATTTATTTTAATTGTATGTATTATTAATATATTTCTAACAAGGAGGAAGATAGTGACATTAGCAAGAGTGGCGCTAGACTTAGCCAGACAGGGGTCAGCAATCGTCGGACAGGGATCTAACATAATTTTGAAAAAGAGCAATACTTTTAAATATACGAATAATAATTAATATGATATAAACATTTTTGTTCTGATAAAGAATTTATCATGATTCAAATATTAACAAAAAAATAATATAAAGGTGATATCTGAATAAATAAAAAAAATATATGCACATCCAGCATAAGATTCTACAGTGTTCTCAAATATTATTCTACTCAAACAGTTGATCTCAAACAATAAAAAATTTATATGTACAACTGAAGAAATTCCTAAGATATCCGAAGAGCAAATTAAAACTAGTTTAGATATTTTTGAAACAGAGATATATTTTTTTTAAAATTAGTAATCGAATAACTAGGTAGTTCAATTTTACTTTAATTTAAACATAAAAATTTTTGAAACTTGAGTATTTCAGAAACTAAATAACGTGTCATCTATGATGAAGCAAAACTGTAATTTGATTTACTGAAACATAATAGTTTTCTCCTTTACGCTTCAGTTCCACTTGTTAAGAAACTCACGAATATTGTTAAATAATAACTCGATAAATAACTTGATAAGTTAAATTTTAAAAAATGTACATTGATAAATTATTTAAGATTGGGTAAAAAAAGTTAATTAGGTAAATAATTTAAGTCAACCAGAGCAAAAAAAAGATGTTAAAATGACCAAAAAACCAGTATATTTGCAAGATGAAATTGTTTGGAAGTGATAAATAAAATAATATTACAAGACATACAAATTTTTATATAATTTTATGGTTGATAATTTTAAATTGTAAAATACTAAATTTGAATGGTTCGAGAAAAATAAAATTTTAAGCAAGCCGGCTTTTTTAAAATTTGATAACTCAGAAACTAATCGATCGATTGCTCTGAAGGTTTGTAGGTAGAAATTAAAATAATGTAAAAAAAGGCGAACATACAATTTAATTAATTTTACTATTACTTAATAAACTAATAAAAATAACAAATAATTATTCAAAATTATTTTTGCGTTATAAATTGTGTATAAAAAATTTTCTGTAATTGTATGCAAATATTTTTCAATACATTAAAAAATAACTCGATGTAATAGGCAATAATCGGAAGAGTAAAGTTAAAATTAAAGGACCCAAGCATAAGCATTTCCCTCTTTCTCTTTTTTTTTGGGGCCATGCCTGACAGGGGAGCAATTTACCCCCCCCCCCTGATCCCCTACTGGCGCCGCCCTTGGACATTAGATAGAAACTTCCTTCAGTATTATTACCCATTCAACTACCTTTTGCTTTCGCGTTTTGCTAGTTACACTAAGGAATTAGGAATGTTTCCTCTTTCTTATCTTTGAAGGATAGATTATAAAACATATCATTAAGTTGTAGTTCCACCTATTAGCACATTTTTTAACTAATTGTAATTCTTAGTTCAATTCTAATTCTCCGGCAGAGCTTCCACAGCGTTTTTTATCCTTATTTTTTTATTACCTAAGAAATAAATGCTAAAAGCATTATAAATTTAAATATTTATTGATACACTTTTGTATTTTTTTTTAAACCTTGCTTTGAAACATGACAAAAGAAAATTGGAAAGAAATAAGAAAAAGGATGAAAAAAACAATTAAAAATAGTCGTTATTTTAAATTCTATTTCATGAAATTTCATTCGGCATTTCCATTTTAGAAGTTTAAAATGAAGTAAAACTTTGTCGAACTTTATTATAGTTGATACTAATAAAAAAATGAATTATTCTATAAAAAAATATTTCTTTGCATGTTAATATTTTTGATATGAAATTAAAATAATAATTTATGAAATGAAATTAAAATAATAATTTCATTCAGTTGTAATTTTTTATATTAAATTACAATTGTATAATTAAATAACTTTTGAATTATATATTTTCAAAACAATTTTATTATTTTTTTAATTAAAATTTAAATAAATCAAATTATATTTTTGTATAAAATATATTTTGCTCGAGCCCGGTTAAAATTTTACGGGAGAGGAGGTACTACCTAGCTTTTACTAACTTTTGCGTCTTCACAAATTATAGGTGTTTTAATTCTAATTTTTAAATATTTAAATTTGTATTCTATAACTGTGGTAGTAAGTATGTTAATGAAATGTTAAGTATGTTAAGAAATTACGCAGCACATAATTTAAGTTTTAGAATTGATTTTCGATCTTTAAAAAAAAAAAAAAACGCACAGTTGTTTAATCATTATAATTTTTTTTTTAACATTTTCAAACAAACATTATAACATTTAAGTTGTTTGTCATTTTTCAGCTTATATGATACTAATGTGCACTGTAGCATGGAATTAAAACTTTTCTTTAAACGGTACAGTTGTTCATGGTACTTATCTTAATACCAATTGAATAGTTATGCAAATTAGAGTTTTTATATATTCATCTTTAGTTGACGCAGAAGTTTCGCAAAAGTTTGCTAAATTCTACACATTATTATAAAAATATTTCTGTGCAGGTATTTTTAATGTGCTGACATGCAATATTTTATTATAGAATAAGTTATTTATGATAATATAAAGCATAATACAACATCACAATAATCATTACGAAAGCAAGTGTGTCATCCCAAAATTTCTAGTTCTGTAAAAAAGTGCAAGTAAAAATGAAAATGATTTATTAATCAAAGATAGTAACAGTACAAATAAGGTTATGAACTTTGCACAAGATAAATAGCATTCATACTAAAAACCATGTTTTTTTTTTATGTCATAAACAAAAGTATAATAATTTTATTTTTACTACAGAAACAAGACTATATACGGGTGCAGTATTTTTAGTTTATAACCATAAAACACATTTATACTCATATATGTAGCTATATACTCGAATCATATAACCATGGCAAACATAGCCCGTTTTCAGAACTCTATGCTTTTACAGCCTTTGCATTCATACTTCATACATTTTTCACTTTTTTCAGATATTATTATTATTAGCACATAGGTATATTAATATTTTCGATTCTGATTTTAACTGTATATATATA